TTACTGAATTTTGCGAGAAGCACCGCCCACCTTGAGTACGCCCCGCCCATTTTGGATGTGTCTGCCACAGTTAGTCTGGCGACTCCTTACTAACCTTATTCCCTTTTTTCCCCATCTTTAAGCTGCTCCGGAAGCGAATTATGAACATTTTTCTGCGGAACCCCAAACTTTCGGCGAGTGCCCCGCCCACTGTGGGCGGGGCTTCCCATAGGTCAAGTGTGCTTTTTATTTCTTGTCCCATGCCCTACCCATCCCCACCTTGACCCGACCTCTCCAAGTCGTTCTTCAGGTCGAACCGAATTTCCGGACAGACAAACTTACAAACAAACAGACGAAGCGCTTTATATATATGGGGTGATAAGAACGAGGTGATAAAACCGAGAAAGCCGAGGAGGTACCAGCAAATGTAAGCCCGGCCAAACATGCCTTTTCTTGGTAGCATGCTCATAGAAGCTCGGGTTGATATCGAATCCTATCAGGGCATTTCTTGAAGTTTCTTCTACTTTCTTCAGTCGGATCGCTACGCTTCACGCCGTGCTCTCCCGTCCTTCTCTTGCCGTCGCTTCGCCGAGCTGGCGCTGGCTTCGCCAGGCAGATTCAAATTAAAGGAATTTTGGTAGTGGGCTGCTCATAAGGCGCTGTAGTGATCGAATCGTAACAGACAGAGCAAGGCTTACAATCCCGCACAACTCAGCACGCGCTTCTATTTACAGCGGCGTAGTCCGCGCCATGACGCCATTAGAATACATAAATCTGTAGATAGATACAATATGTAGTCGGAAAATACAGCGCAATATGAATCGCTCAGAGCAGATTTCATTTCCATTACCTGCATGACGGAGTGCTAACGCGACCACGCTTTCCTTTCCATTTGGTATGGGCGCTGAAGTGTTTTTCGCTTCTCCTCGAATTTCCCTGAGATTCCTGTTTCAGGCGAACTACATACCCCCCCCCCCCCCCCCCCCCCGCTCGTCGACATCGACATTATATAGTAGGATGAGTTCATTTTCTAAGGCTATCAGGGAAGTGATGGCTGAAGGAAAAGTATGCACACTGAGCCTTTGATACTTGGGGGTATAGTGATAAGAGAGGTAATGATAATGACCCCTTATCGTTTCTTATCGATTGATAAGATCCTGTCACCCGTCATCAATGTCGCCTTATGCACTGAAACTCTCCAGGGTAGCTTTGAGATAGTGTAAGGCTCTCAGCAATTCTCGATTGAACAGGGGCATTGGCAGCTGCTCTCTTTTATCCAGCCCCTACCAGTCTGTTATCACCTCACGTCGCACATAGTCCCACTGATCGGTCCAACGTCTTATAGTCATTTTTCATTGTGCAAATTAATGCCTCGGCAGCTGATGCTCGTTTTCGCGAGGCGTATATAAGTGGATGGGGTGACGTCTTTAACCGTACATTCTATACTCCACTTATCGAATCTTATCAGGTGCTATCAATTCCTGTCCCCTTTCATGAAAACAATAGATGTGCCTGTCTCTCACGTCCTATTATCATACCTTGGAACCAATGTCCCACTGTTACTGTGTCCCGCACTATGGGCTCGGTCACCCTCCCCTTCTAAGGCCCCTTATCGAATCTTATCAGGTGCTATCATTCCCTGTCACCCATCAATAATGTTCCTGTTCCCACGTCCTATATCAGTGATCCTCTTGGAACCCATGTCCCACTGTCACTGGTGTCAGCGTTATGGACTTCGGTCATCCTCCCCCTTCTAAGGCCCCTTATCGAATCTTATCAGGTGCTATCACATTCTATCACCCACCAAAAGTGTTCCCGTCCTGCCACGTATATCACTTCTTGGAACTGTCGTCCTATCTTTTCTGCGACGCTCGCTATGAATTTCGTGACAGACAGACAGACGCACACACAAACACACACACACACACTTACAGACATACTTAGCGGATTATATAGTAGGATGTAGATGATTCATTTTCTAAGGCTATCAGGGAAGTGATGGCTGAAGGAAAAGTATGCACACTGAGCCTTTGGTACTTGGGGGTATAGTGATAAGAGAGGTAATGATAGATCTGCCCCTTATTCGTTTCTTATCGACTTTTGATTAAGATGCCCGTCACCGCATCAATGTTCCTATCACTGATTAACTCTAGCATATTGGTAGTGTAAAGGCTCTCAGCTAAATTTCGATTGAAACAGCCGATTGGTCAGCTGCTCTCTTTTATCAGCCCGCTATTCAGCTGTTATACACCTCACGTGCGTTGTCCCCCATCTGCCAACTCTATATATCATTTCTGAAATTAATTGCCAGCGCTGTGCTTGTGTCTCTGGGTTAAGAGTATGGTTGACCCTTTTACCATTCTAACTCCCCTATTTTTATCAGAGTGCTGCCATCCTGTCACCCATCAATAATGTTCCTGTCCCACGTCCTGTATCATACCTTGGAACCAATGTCCCACTGTTACTGTGTCCCGCGTTATGGACTCGGTCACCCTCCCCTTCTAAGGCCCCTTATCGTAATCTTATCAAGTGCTATCACATTCTATCACCCACCAAAAGTGTTCCCGTCCTGCCACGTATATCACTTCTTGGAACTGTCGTCCTATCTTTTCTGCGACGCTCGCTATGAATTTCGTGACAGACAGACAGACGCACACACACACACACACACACACTTCGACGGACAGTCTTCACACACAACCACACTTACAGGACATAACTCTAGCGGATTATATATAGTAGGATAGTAGGATGAGTTCATTTTCTAAGGCTATCAGGGAAGTGATGGCTGAAGGAAAAGTATGCACACTGAGCCTTTGATACTTGGGGTATAGTGATAAGAGAGGTAATGATAATGACCCTTATCGTTTCTTATCGATTGATAAGATCCTGTCACCCGTCATCAATGTCCCTATCACTGAAACTCTACAATTTGGTAGTGTAAAGGCTCCAGCAATTTGATTGAACAGCATTGGCAACGCTCCTTATCAGCCCCTATCAGCTGTTATCACCTCACGTGCCGTGTCCCCATCTCCAATCTAATATCATTTTTCTGAAATTCAATGTCGCGACAGCTGATGGCTGTGATTCGCGTTAATAGTATGCATGTGCCTTACATATCTAGCGCGATCTCCCCCTTGATCGAATCATTCATCAGGTGCTCTCATTAACCCTGTCACCACACAATCAATTGTGGCGCTGTCCCCACGTGCCTGAAATCATAACTATGGAAAGCAAATGTCCACTGTTATTCGTTGAAAACGTTCGCGCATTATGGATCGGTCACCAGGTCAGAAAGCATTGTGTTAGGTTGGTGCGCTCCCCGTTCTAGAGGACCCCTTATCAAATTTCTTAATCAAAGGTGCTGCCCATAATACCCTGTCACCCAACATGCAAATAATGTTCTGTCCCCACGTCCTGTACTCATAGACCTTGGAACCAATGTCCCACTGTTACTGTGTCCGCGCTATGGACTCGGTCACCCTCCCCTTCTAAGGCCCCTTATCGAATCTTATCAGGTGCTATCACATTCTATCACCCACCAAAAGTGTTCCCGTCCTGCCACGTATATCACTTCTTGGAACTGTCGTCCTATCTTTTCTGCGACGCTCGCTATGAATTTCGTGACAGACAGACAGACGCACACACACACATACACGCACACAGGACTCGCACACAAGACGGCACACTTACAAGACATCTTAAGCGGGGAAATTTTTATTTTTTAAAAAATATATTAGTAGGATATGGGGTTGGTGAGAGGGGAAGTGATAAACCGAGAAAGCCAAGGAATTTTAAGTCCCAATATAGGTATTCCTAGCATCGCTCACGGCCCAGACGGCAAAAACATGCGCTTTTCTTGTATAGCATGGCTCAATGACGAGATCGGTATTACGAATCCTATTCAGGGAGCATTTCTTGAAGTTTCTTCTACTTTCTCCATCCGCTACTGATTTTATTAGCACCAGACCATTCATTGCCCAATTAAGATTAGCTGGCTTGATATCCTTATGAACAATTCCAACCGAATGGAGATACTCGAGGCTGCAAAACAATGTCTTCCAGAGGCAATTAGAAATAAAACTGAATAGTAAAGCTAAACGAAAGGAAATAAAACTGAATAATAAAGCTAGTGAATGTATACGGTAACACCTTTTACACTTTCTTCTTGTCCCGAAATTCTCCTCGAATCTAACCCCACCTGCACCTTAGATGAACAGCTAACTTATTATGAACCCACCCGTTTATCAAGTCGACGAAATATCGGTGAGTATCTGCGTCACAGAGCCTGTTCTCGTGTGATGTATCGAGGAGCTGTTGAACAGAACCCATGCAGAATTCCATCACCACATAGAGTTTGTTCTTATTTTCCCGTCGAAAAACCTACAAACTTTCTATATTCGAACATAGCAGCCGATGAAGAAGTCGAGTCTGTCTTGCTATAGCTGATATAGTCGCAATCAGACGGGGCGGTGTCAGGACCGGCCCGCCTCCAGACGTTGCTCAGACAGTTGACTGGTTAGTGATCAATTCAAGATAAAAAAAAACAAACAGCCGTACAATAATGCGAATGAGCGCAATGCATGCCTCTCGACACTGTTCCGACCGAGTGCGACGATATCAACTGTATGCACCAAATGCTGTGAAGAAATCGAGACCAGATCTTAAGAAATTGAAGCAGATTACCTCTATCAATCGGACCACGTTCTCATGCTTCACCCTATTGAGAATTCTTAATTCTCGCTCCACATTCTCTTGTCCGTTTTGAATCTTTCGTAACCGATTGTGCTTAATTATCTTTACGGCACGTCGTACCAATGTCGTCTCATCAACGACTTCCTGAAAAACGCAGTGTTAAAACGGAAGTGAGGTGGGGACGTCTGAAGCGCAGCATCACGCTCAAACTAGCACTATTATCCAACTCGCACGATAGCACTTAAGGGCACGTCCCGCGATCAAAAATGGTAGATGGAGCTCAATATCACCCCACTCTCACGATTCAAAATGCAAAGACCTAATAGTGGAACCACCGCACCAAGCCCTCAGAAATAAAATAAACGTTGGGTATGGTGTGAGGCAATGGGCGGGGCATCGCCCTCGCCACCATCGGCTTATCACGCCTTTCTGAGTCACGAGAGTGACCACCTTGTTTGGGGGCGGTGTCGGTTTGCGCGTGATGCCGCGCCTTGGACATTTTGAACTTAACCATTTCAAACGGTCATAGAGGAATTAATGCTTTTTTTGCTTAAGAAACTACGAAGTAAATCTGGGCGGAGACCTTTCCAAAAGCTTACCTTGACTTTCGCGTACGATCCTTCACCAATTTTCGCACCAAAGAGGTAACCATTGTGAGATTTTGAACCTTTTTCAGAGAAGACTTCTTCAACAAACTGAAAAGAAAGGCTATTCAATAGTAGAAAGATCACCTTCAGGAACTGTTTCGGCAGACTGTGACCAGGGAAGGTCTTCAACTTACCATGGAACTTTGAAAGGAGACCTAGGTGGATCGATAGAGTCTGTGAGGCTATTAACAAATATAGATAGCAAAACTGCAACGCGCATTCCACAAGCAACATATGCACAGGTGTTAAGAGTTTGATAATGGTTACTAGCAAGTGGAGAACTTGGTGAGCGACTGCGGAAGATAAATCAAGTAATGCCACTCGTGCGGAACGAGCCGTGGTGGTCAGTGGTAGCTGCTCGCCTTCGGCAAGTACAGCATTCCTGGTCGGATCCGGCGGTGCAGGTCGGTTTTTGCACCATTGATTTTTACCTGATTTTTTGACTTGCGTACGGACTGACACCTGGACATCACTTGATTCACGTTCTTGGCGTATATTAACTGCGGAACTTTCTGTGCGTGATGTACTTCATTCAAAACATTGAAAAATCCAGTTGACTTTGCAAAAAACCTGGTAGATCAAGTCACCAATCTTTAGGTTGAACGGATCGTTGAGAGCAGGGCGGCTATGACACACTCCTACACTGTCCTTCCACTCCTATATGCTGACGGCAGACTAGGAGAAAAACTGTATGTAGTCCTGCAGGAGAAGGAGGAGTGTTGTTTCAGCCGCCATGGGACTCTTGAGCGCGCTAACCTTGTGGGTTAGAGCGAATACTACACATATTATGACGAAGGAGCTTATGGTCGATTGGATCAGAACGTGTCTATGCAACGCCAGCGGTACCCCGGAAATTCACCTTATTGTGGACTCCTGGTCGCCCTTCCGTGATATCAACACCATGGAGGAAGCCGCACCTGAAGGTGGGTGGCATAGTGCAATGTTGCTTCAGGGCGTCGGTCAAATCTTTATCATTACAGGCTGCAAGTTGACCGTTCACAATATCCCAGCCGGCGCTACGTCGCTCATACAACCTCTGGATGTGTTCTTTTTTGGCCCCATGAAAAATGTTATGAAACGGATTAGAACCTCGGCGATGGTGAATAATGAATAACATAATGTGGCGTTCAACATGACCCACAGAGACAACATACTGAAGGTGTTGTCGCAAGTGTACCGGATGTTTTGGAGTGTGGCCCGAGATTCTCTAATTTTTCTGAGATATCGTGAGGGTACAAAGCAGAGTACAGTTGATCATCACCCGAGGAGGAGTGGCTTTTGACACTCCCTGATCGTGACTTGTTCAACCTGTGAAACGCCTCGACTGCGCAACGGATGCCTAGGACAACAGCATCCATAGATGCGCATGTGTGGAGCAGCACATCTGCTTCACTCATTTTTTTGAATTGTTTCATCAGTGTTGAAGCATGAGTAACGGTCTACCAGGTTTTTGCAAAGTCAACTGGATTTTTCAATGTGTTTTCAACGAGTACAGTCACGCCACAGAAAGTGCCGCCATTAATATAACGCAAGAATCGGCAATCAAGTGATGTCCAGGGTCAGTCCCCGTACGCAAGTCAAAAAAAATCAAGGTAAATCGATGGCTGTGCAAACATCTGCACCCGCCGGGATCCGAACCAGCATGCCGCTGTGCCTGCCGAATGCGAGGACCACTGAACCACCACGACTCGTTCATGCGAGTGGCATTCCTTGATTATCCTTCGCTCCTCACCAAGTCTCCACCCTAGTGCACCATTACAAACTTTACCTGCTCATATCTTGCTTGTGGAATGCGCGTTGCAGTTTTGCTATCTATATTTGTTAATAGCCTCACAGACTCTATCGATCCACCTAGGTCTCCTTTCAAAGTTCCATGGTAAGTTGAAGACCTTCCCTGGTAAGTACTTAATCAAAATGAATAAAAAGGAGGGTGGAATTAAGAAAAATGGGTTTGGTCGGAGAAATCCTAAAGCAAAGTGAGGACATGGGACAATCGTGCAGTAGGAATATGGGAAACAAATGAGAAAGGATTGCTGAAAGGAAGTGAACGAATGAGATTCATTCACTAATAAGAGCCGCGAAATCCAAATAAATAGGGATGAAAAGCAAAAAAAAAAAAAAAAATTAACTCTTATCTGAGAAACTGAGAACACGCGTTCAGAATGAACCAAGAAGATTCAAAGAGTAATTCTTGGGCTTGACTGAAGCACCCAAAGTCTCTCAAAATTTGAGAAAACACTTTTAATTTGGGAACAATCCGCTGAAACGCATCCTTTGCTCCTTTCTCAGTGGGAACGTGAAAACAGCTTTATGCATATGCCTGTCAACCCATTGTTTTGGCTTTTTCACAATATTTAATAAGTCCCCTCCCTCCCCGCTGTTACAAGACGTCCTCAAAACGGCAGATCACAGAATGCTTGAAACTTCAGTGTGGGGTTTTTTTTTATGGAGTAGTAACCCTATGACATCAAATAAAACAGAAGAAAAAGAAGTAAGTTTGGCAAGCCATACGTTCAAACCACTTGGAAAAACTGGGAAACGCAACGTCGTCTCATGAGACCTCAGTCACATGTTTGGGAAGGACTCAGAATGAGTAAAACACTTCACGAAATGCGAAACAACCCCACGAAACCATCAGAAAAAACCCTTTTTGGAGAGGAAAATTGGATCGCTCACACCGAAGGTTTTTCCCCAGAGCTTCGGCAAAGATGTTCACCTCTCCCGCTCTCCCCAGTACTATCACGCGATTTGACGAAATTAAAAATTAAGTGCTCAATATCGTCGACCTGACTTACTTTGAGCACTGAAAAGTCAATAGAAATAGAATCTTCAAAAAACCCAAGCGCCCTTGATGAGCAAAACGATCTCTATCAATCAAAATAGAACATTATACTGAGACATTCCATCTTGGATGCAGATTTTCAAGGTTAGAAAAAAAGCGCAATTAGCTATGGGTCTCAATTCAGTACTATCACGCAAAACGAAACAATGAGTTCGAAAGCTGATGAAAAAATTAAAGGAACCAGTCTTAGTCAACATCAAAGGACATTTTCAGCAGGAACACTCACCGATCCTTCATTGAGTGGTGTAAATAACAATCCCTGCCCTGCGATAATAGACTGCACTCGTTCAACAGACAAAGCAATATCAGGATCACCACCGAACTGAAACTAAATTCCAGTGGTAATTCCATTCCACGAATGTAACGGAAATCTTAAGCTGGAAACTACTAGTAATTCATTCAGTACTCGAAATTGGTCGCCGCTTCCAAACTATGCATGTTAAAACGAATCGATTTCACTCGGTGACGGGCTCCACGTGCCTTAAATGGCCGCTAAACCAATGCGGCCGTATGAAACGACGAAAGGCCAGCTCACGAGTCATTTCCAGCAAACACGAAGCGCGAGGGATCCTAGGGGGGGGGGAGCAGCATCCGAGCTTCACTTATTCCACCACACCTCACACTCACGCTACCGTTGTCGCTCAATTAGGCTCCACAACCAAGTGCTCGGTAAAACAATGAAACATGAATCGAAACAAAAAAGGCTGAAAAGACATATGGGAAAAAATAACTTACAGGAAATCAGGCTATAGCTGTGAACGTGAGGCGGGGGCCCGTGAAGAAGTAAGGGATACTGCAAAGTCCCTGATCGTCGAGGAAACCCTTCTCGGAAAACTACTCCACGTTTCGAAATTCGGAGGTCTTCCGTAAGCGAATATTTGGCTAGAATTCGCCTTTACTTATAGATTAACCAGTTTGGCTAACGCGCAATACTGCGCGCATGGTTAAACCCATGGTACTGATCACTGAGGGGTTTCTCTGCTGAGCACAACACTTGGCCCAATCCCCTTGTTTCGGAATACGGCCCATTTCATCGTGCTTCTCCCTTTTAATGAACTTGCCAATGACTGGGCTTATCACGTTTTTGACAACACTCGCCATTCGTTGGAAATAGGAAAGCTTAGCGGTTGAAAGAGTTTCGGGGGTAATAACAGACGCAGAGTGAAATGTCCTCACATCCTAGTACATACCTTAAGCAGCTTTTGGGACTTTTACTTTTTGTCGAAACTCGAGAGTTTAGCGGTCGAATCAATTCCGACTATATCGCTAAGGGATAGAAACATCTTGGCTCACTAAGCCTTTGCCCACAGTTTCTTTGGCCAAGGTGATGTGACCATATACGGACTCCTAAAAGCCCTTGTCGGACACGACCTGAACTTATCTCCCACTACTATTGTTACCTTACTTGCTGGGGGCAATTCTCCAGTGTGGCTACAACTATGCTGCGAATTTTTGGGGCTATCTTATCAGCTGTTATCACGTCCTGCCACCAACCAATAATGTTCCCATCTTGCCCACTATCTTACTCCTTGGAACCGAAGTCCTAGCGTCGCTGTGAAGCACGTTATCAAGTTGATGACCCTTCGCTTCTAAGGCTCCTTATGGTATCTTATCAGCTGTTATCACTTCCTGCCACCCACCAATAATGTTCCCATCTTGCCCACTATCTTACTCCTTGGAACCGAAGTCCTAGCGTCGCTGTGAAGCACGTTATCAAGTTGATGACCCTTCGCTTCTAAGGCTCCTTATGTTATCTTATCAGCTCTTATCACTTCCTGCCACCCATCACTAATGTTCCCATCCTGCCCCCTATCTGCTTGGAACCAACGTCCCGACGTTGCTGTGGCCGGCGCTA